GGAAGTAAGCCCCGGCCTTCTTTGGTTTGTTGTTATCCTGAGAGTGCTATCACAGGGTTCAGGGGTAGGCTTGCTACTGAGGGGCATGGCAGAATTAAAGAGCAGGGCCCACATGGATTCCTAGCATGATAACTATGTCTGAACATTGAAGGAAGCACAGGGAAGTGTTGGCCACTTGTGGCCTAGGATGCTGATGGTATGTCCCTTTGGAATATGAGAGACCCCTGGGCTGGTATCACCCCCGCTCAGGCTGAGCAAAGATCAATGGCTGGCCTATGTGGAGGATAGGATTGATCTGGGTGAGCAAGTGAGGTCTTGGAGGCCCAGATTATTCTTCTCAGGTGAAGCTTCAATGTGGAAGCACAACATTCCCAGAACTGCTATGTCCTCCTTCCCCAGACCACAGCCTGCATGCCCGTGGACTTCCAAGACTGCAATGACAGGATTCCATGGAACAAGGCCAAGGGGACCCTGGCCAGATCCAGCCAGACGGAGGAGTCTGAGCAGTACTCCCGGACCATCCAGGTGTCCCTGTGCAGAGGTGCCAAGAGGGCGGGCAATCCTAGCACATACTCCCAGTGTCCTGGCCTATGTGCCAACCCCAGATACTGGGGGACCCACCCTGAGAGTCCTCCCAAGAAGAAATGCACCACAGTCAACCTCACACAGAAATCTGAAACCAAAGACCCTCCTGTCACCCCCATGCAAAAACTCATTTCCCTGGTGAGGGAATGGGACATGGTCAATTGCAAACAGTGGGAATTCCAGCCACTGCCAGTTGCCCGGAGCAGCTCCATGGAGGAGGCTACCCTGCAGCTCCCTTCAGGAAGTGAGGCTCTTTCCCAGCCCAGCACCTCAGCTTCCTGGAAAGGCCATTCCACAGGCTCAGAGAAGGACCTGGGCCCACTGGCAGGGGCTGGAGCTGGAGCCAAAGACAAGGGGCCAGAGCCAACCTTTAAGCCGTACTTCCCTGTGAAAAGAGCTGTTACGCTAAAGGACTGGGGCAAGAAGCCAAGAGAGAAAGGTGAGTCCTGTCCCATCACTGACCTAAGTCTCATTTAACCACAGAGAGGGCAAACCTTGGCCAAGATCATAGAGTGAATTAGTGACAAAGGGGGACTAGAACACTCTATTCACGGACACCAGCTCTGCCAAGCAGCAGAGATGACCAGCACACTGGCATGCCTTGTGGGGCTAAGAGCCTGCATGAAGCATATGGGAAGAGTGTGTCTGTGAAATAAGAGCAGCACAAAGAAGGCTGGGGGTTGGGGAGTGAGCAGAGGAAGGAAGGAAAAGTCTTGGGTGCTTGTGGAAACAAAGATCTTTGGTCTAGCTCTGGAGGCCAGGTTTCATGTAGGGAAGTGACCGGAAATAGGGCTGAAGACATAATTAATCAGGACAGGTCTTGTGGGCCAAGTTCAGGACCTGGTACTTTATTCTGATTCTATGGGGTGTGGGCAGCCACTGAAGAATTTTAAACAAGGGAGCAAGTAGTCACATGTGCATTCAGAGAGTTTGCTCCAGGAGTAGAGGAAATGTAGCAGCAGAAGCAGGAGTGTTAGAAGTGTAAGGTCATTCTAGATCAAACAGTCTAGGCAGTTGGGGGAGGAAGTAGGGAAGGATCCAGCAAGAGAGAGGCCAGGTTTCTGGCTTGTGTGACTGCAGGAGGGTGGGTGATGACTAAGGCGGAATGGACAGGAGAAGGAGCAGAAGAGAGGCATGTTATATGTGGTGGAGCAGTGTGGAGACAACCTAGGGGAGTATGCTGAGAACTGCCATGTTGGGCTGTTTCCTCTGCTCCCTCAAAGTCTTTCTACAGTATTCTGTTGCCTTCCCTTTTAAAGTCTTAGGGCCCTCCTTCGAGGCACCTCCTTGGGCCCTGCCTGTGAGGCCTGAGTTGGTCTGTCAAACATACTCTTCAGAGTGGACATGTATCAAAAGCTTACCCAAAAAGCTCCTCTCATTTTACAGTTTTCCAACAATTTCCAGTCCCCCAGGTAGGGTATTACCAACTCTAGTTAATACTAGCCTTAGTTCAAGAGGAATTCGGAGAGTTCCTTGGAGTTCTGAAATGTAGGGTTGGGCTTGTAAAGCTTCTACAACAATGGAGAGAGGAAGGCCAGGACAGGCCCCTACCAGCAGAGGGTGCTACTTCTGAGAAGCTGGAGGCAGAAGCTGCTAGAAGGCTGGGGTGACTGACTATGCTGGTCTGACACCAGAGAACCCTTCCCTGCTTGGTCTCCAAAGTGGCTTAAGGAGGATCCCCATCCCATGTTGTTTTCACAGAAAGCCCTGGCCCTGAGCAGCCTCTGCTTGAGGCCAGTGAGGTGGATAATGCAGGGGTCATCCTCAAAGTGACCCATCCCCCCGTGGTGGGCAGCGATGGCTCCTGCATGTTCTTTGAGGACAGCATCATCTACACCACACAGATGGACAGCCTCAGGCATACGCCAACTACATCCGGCCCTCAGCCCAGAGGTGAGAGACTGAAGCCATACCTGGCCCTGTGCTTCCTTGTGGAGATGCCTGAGCCCCTACCCAGGGTACTTCAGGAAAAGTCTCCCTCAGGAGCCCTACGCTTCTCCCCTTCCTCCAGGTGGGCTCTAAGGCCTTAGCTGCAGGCAAGTGTGGCCATATCCACTCTCTCCTCCACAGAGGTGACTTTCCTGAGTTTCTCTCTGTCCTGGGAAGAGATGTTTTATGCACAAAAATGTCACCGCTTCCTGACTGACATCATCCTGGATTCCATCAGGCAAAAGGACCCCAAAGCCATGACAGCCAAGGTGGTCTCCCTGACCAACCGGCTGTGGGTATGTTTGCCAGGCCCCAGACCTTGTTTCTTCTCCACCTGTCTGGTCCCCCTTTCCCCACAGTAAGTGGTGCCAGGCAAAGGGAAGCAAGTCAAGGGGAATAGGTCAGGGGCACAAGGGGGGCAAGAAGCACACAAACAGAAAGACAGGGCAGTGTCCTCTGAACCAAGCCTTGACCAAGAGGAGTTTGGCATGACAGTGGTCCCTGATCCCTGTAGCTCCTACAGACCAAGGGAAGCCCTGTTCTGCATCCCACTCTGAAAGGCAGGGAGCAAATGTGTGTCAGGCAGCTGCTTCCAGCCCTGCCTGACCAGGGGCTCTTCTGGCAGACCCTGCACATCAGCCCCAAGCAGTTTGTGGTGGATTTGCTGGCCATCACCGGCTTCAAGGATGACCGGCACACCCAGGAACGCCTGTACAGCTGGGTGGAGGTGAGGGCCACCTGTACCCCACTGGGAATGCTGACCCCGTGGACACCTCAAATGGACACTGTCTTGCTGCATGAGGGCCAAGCCAGCAGTGCCCAGAAGGCATGGCAGGCAGCTAACCTCTGGTCCCCGGTCCCAAGGAGGGAGAAACAGTGGCTGAAATTAACCAGCCCAGAGTGATCAAAAAGCAGTATGCGGGCCACTGGTTTTTGTAGATTTCCTCCAATGATACCAATTTTGCCTTCTTTACTAATACCCTGCCCATACTTGGGAAGCACATCACATGAGCCCAAGTTTTGGGGGTGCTGAAGCCAGAGAAACTAGTAGGAGTCAGACCTTTTTGATGGGTGATACCAATTTCACCTACTTCACTATATCCTCACTTTCGTACATTCCTTTCATGTATAAGCTGCTTTTAAAAGCATTCTTTACCAAAAAAATGTTCAATAAGGTGAAAGGAATGACCCAGGTTTGACCCAGGTTTTTTGTTTTTGTTTTTTTTATTCCTTAAAATAATTTTAGAGTTTTAAGTTTTTAACATTGTAGGTGAAAAAGATTCAGCTTGTTTCTCCTTAATTTGTTATTTCTGCAGTCAAGTACATTATTATAATACTTTTCACCCTAAACACACTGGTTCCCAGTTACTATTAGGCCTCTGGCTAGAATGGTGAAGTCAGCATCTACAGCTAGAAAATGGAAAACCAGTGGCCCGAAACATACATTTTTGACCCTCTGGTCATTCTGGTAGCCACTCCCAGCCAGAGCCTTGTGAGAGGCCTTTGGGCAGAACTGAGCCCGAGAGCATCAAAGGTCCCCACTAACAGGCCTTGCCCTATCCCTACCCTGCTCCCAGATGGGAGGACCCTCCCCACACACACCCACAGAGCTAGGGTAGACAACCAGCCAAGAAGTAGGGGATAAAACAAGCCTTTCCTTCTAGCTCACACTGCCTTTCGCCAGGAAATATGGTCGCTGCGTGGACCTGCTCATCCAGAGGGGCCTGTCTAGGTCTGTCTCTTATTCTATCCTGGGCAAGTACTTACAAGAGGGCTAGGGTGACCAGAAATGATGCCCTCACATACCCCCACCTGCCAAGGCTCATTTTAAGAATGTGTGTCCCCAACTGAGGATGTATCAGTCTATTTTTATTATAAATAAAGAGCAATTTACAAGTCAAGGGCCTGGACTCTCTGAGACATCAAAGACCTAAGAACTAGTAAAGTAATTTTAGATAACACTCTAACTGAAAGTTATTCAAAAGATGTGGAGTCATTATAACCAAACTGACCCAGGAAAGAGCTGGGCGTGGGCAGCCAGGAAGTCAAGGGTTAAGGGCACAGCAGCTGTGGGCTTCCCCTAAGTTTGAGAAGGTTGGCTTTGAGACTAGGAGTTGGGAAGCAACTGCTGGGAACCCACCTATGTTCCTCCTGAGGGTGGGGGCGGTCCAGTCGCTGCCCAGAGCCACTTGGTGCCCCACCAGCCTAGAGCAGGGAAACACCCACACTCTGCTCTAGCCTAATCCTAACTCATAACTGGGGTGGGAACTGCAGAAGGAAAAGGAGAAGGAGACATGGGACCAGAAGCTCAGGATCAGGGTAGTCACTCAGGCTTGTGGCCAGGCTCCCTAGGAGAGGTCCCTGCCAGTCTGCCAGTGGGCACAGACATCAGAAAGAGTAGTCAATAGGGCAGTGCATGTGGGTTGGAGGTGGCCCAGGTGGCAACCACACTCTGGTCACAGCAGATCCTGAGAGAGGTGACGTTTCTTGGGCAAAAGCTCCTGGATCCACTGCCTGACTTCCAGCCCGGGCTCAGACCTGTGGTTGACAAGCTAGGCATGACTGCCTGTTTCCTCAACTCAGGGTCCAGCAGGGATGTCTGGGTATGGCCCTGGCCCACCCACCCACCTAAAGGAAAGGCAGCCATAGGCCTGGGCTGGGGCTGGTAGATACAGGACAAAATGGTACTCACACAGGACAAGTCCTCAAGTCCCCTGCCCAGGACCTGCCCTGACACACAGCTGCTATCAGACCCACTGGATCCACTGGCTGATGGGCACTGGGATGAGACCTCTGAGTCCTCAGGAGCTAGGGAGGAGGAAGGTTAGCTGTCAGCAAGGGAGGGCCAGACCCTACACGATACCATCCCGCTTCTGGCTAAGTCCAGACCTACTCAAAGACAGCTGACTGGCGAGCTCCACTTCGGCCTCCAGTGCTGCTTCCTCTGGGAAGCTGGCAGAATACAGGGGCCACTGGAGTCCCAGAAGAGCCGGGTCTCTGTACAGGTGCAAATTGAGGGACCCCAGTACAGAGCAAGAGGCAGGGTCTCCAGGAAGGGAACTCAAGGCCCCCAGGTAGGGGCTGTCACAGTCAAACGGGGCCACAGCAATAGAGGCCCGAGAGCGAACTTCTGCATAAGAGAGAAGGTCAGGTTGGGACAGAGCAGAGCCTACCTGGGCCAGGGTCCTGAAGGGAGCACAGGAAAGGGCTGACAAAGGTCCACGTTGCCTCCCATGCAGCCTTCCTCCCACACCCCCACCAGGCTTCCCGCTACCTCTGCACTTCAGGACGTAGTTGACGGTGCGGTCGCTGATAGCTTCCTTGCTGGGGGCGATGTCCCGGAAGGCCTTGCTCCCCACACCCATGGACACCATCTCAGCCATGCGTACTTCTGGGTGGAGAGGGGGCATAGGTGAGGGCTCTCTGGACATCAGCCTTGTCCTTGGCCTCTGTCTACCCATTCCCTTGAGTAAGTCTTTCCTGTACATCCATACCCTGCAGATTAGCTATCCTGTGCACAGAGTCTTTCTTGGTGCCATGTTCTCCTCCCAACAATCCTCCCAACAATCACAGTTGCCCTTTTAAATATAAGGCCTCTGATACTCAGAAAGATTAATAATGTGTCCTGTAGTCAGGTACAGTGATAGCAGGACTGCCTGACTTGGAAGTTCTTTCCCCTACACTGGCTGCTGCTGCTGGACCTCCCTGCTCCCAAGCATTTCCAGGCCCCTAGGCCTGCCTGGGCCCCTGTGGGACACTGTAAGCTGTCCAGAGAGGGGACCTTATATTGAAGTAGGGGGCAGGGACACACCCTTGTTGTGGATGGCCTGCCTCCAGAGCAGACGAGAAATGTCAGCTGTCCAAGCCTGCTTGGTGGCCAAGCTGGCAGCCTGCAGCACAAAGGTGTCCCTGGCCTTGCGACGGCGGAACCAGATCTCAAACCGTAGGTTGCTCTCCCCACAGCACTCCGTGAGGCCCAGGTCTGCCATCTGCGAGGTCAGGAGAGAGGCTTGATGAGGCACTGGGAGAGGTGGGGGCAAGGAGCATGGGAAGGGTCGGGTGGGCCTACCTTGAAGGAACGCTTATAGGCAAATGTGTCTGTGCCTGTGGGTCCTCGGCGAGGCTTGCTGAAGAGCAACAGCTCCTCAAAGAGAAAAATGCGGCGCAAGGACTTACGGCGCCCAGTGCGCACCATGAACTCATCCTGTCTCACCAGCTGCCCCTGTTCCTTGAGGTTAACCTGCCAAGATGGTGCCCAGTGAGTGCCCAGCCTCTGCCGCCTCCTCCCCTCCACACCCACTGCACCTGCCCACCACAGCCTGGCATGACTCACATCACAGCCCTGAATGGCATCCATGGCCAGCAGGTCATTGCCATGTCGCAGCTGGAAGCGCACGAGGCTCTGGGCGGCCTGTAGGGCACTCAGCTCCTGCACGGCGCCCCCGCAGGCCCGTGCCAGTTCCTGTAGCAGCAGCGCATACTTGCTCATGCGCTGAATGGGCTTCAGCAGGTAGGAGGCCAGGTCCAGGTGGTCCCCCAGCATTTGCTGCTTGTCCTGATGGGTGCACGGAAGACCGTTAGATGGCTTTGGGGTGCTTCCTCCAGCCCCTCCTCCCATACAGTCTCAGGCCCATCTACCTTGAAGAAGGTATGACCAAAGCTGGTCATCAGGGCATCGGAGCGAGGTTTATTCTTGCTGTAGAGCGCGTACATCCCAAACTGCACCCTCTGTGAGGACACACAGCTCAGCCTGGGTGCAAGGGGGCCAGCTCCCAAAGTCTGGCCCCCATGGGCCAGATGCCCTCAGCTTGAGAGGACCAAAATGCCAACAAACAGCTCCCAGGGAAGCCTCCCCCGATCCAATCTGCCTGGCTTTGAATGAGAGGTAAATGTGGCAAGAACAGGCACTGTGCAGAGTGGCGCTTGCCCAGAGGGCCTTTGCTCCTCCCGCTGCTCTGGGAACACCACTCCGGGATCCCTCACATCAGACTACCCCTTCTCTTGCTCACTACACTTGGCCGCTTTGACTGGTCTCTTCCTTTAAACTTCATCTTTCCTCTGGATGGAACACTCCAACTCTAGCCCTGCCCTCTGGCCCCAGCTTAAACATCAGTTCCTTAAAGAGGCCTCTAACTGCCCCACTCCTGCCCCACCACTAATTCACTATCATCGATCCATCCTGGTTATTTTCTTCCTAGCTCCAACTATAATCTGGAATTTCCTTTTTTACTTTTATGTCTCTTCTACTAAAATATGAGCATCCAAAGGGACAGGGACCCTGCTGGTCTTGCTCACAGCTGTACCCATCAGAGAGCCTGGAACCAAGCATGTACCCAGGAGCTCTTTGTTGAGTGTGACAGAATCGGCTAGGGGCCATGTGGCCTGTGGGAGGCTTACATGACGCAGGAAGGCATAGGCTACTCGGGATGGGTGCTGGGTACAGGCCTCCAGCTCACGCAGGAAGAAATGACAGTGGAAGTCCCGCAGCTTCTCCAGGTTGCCAAAGAGGTGGGCGCGCTGGCCACGGAGGCCCTGGGGCACATCGGGGCGCTCCAGCTCTGGGAAGTAGTTCTCCATGGTGTAGTCAAGAGCACGGACATACTCCCGCTCTGTAGACACCATCTCCGCCAGCACCAGCTGGAGCCTACCAGAGAGGTGGAATCAGGATTCAAGACCTCTCTCCTGCCACTGCCCTCCCTGCCCTGCCCACTGGCTGCACCTGCTGGGGCTCCTGGGGTCAGAGCTGCTTGGCAGAGGCATGGGAGGGGATGACCCTGGCCGGGCACCCCCTCCAGCCTCCAGTCTGTGGCAGGTAGCCGCAGTGGCCACATGGTGGCAGTGGTGGGCAGGCTCTCTGAGACTCTGCCCCAAATTCTGATCAAGGCTATGTGCCTTCCTCAAGGGAGGGGTAGCAGATGCAGGTGGGATGCGTCTGACACACAGGCTGGCTGTGCTGCCCGTCGTGGTCATGGTCGTGGTCGTGGTCAGTGGTGGCTTCAGTGCAGCCTCTAGCTTCTGGTCCAGGGCCAGCCAGGTGTCCTGGCATCGAGCCCAGGCCCAGCGGCACTCCTGGCGGATGCTCTCAGAGCCCAACCCTGTGGCCAGAGCCCACATTTTTCGGAAGTGGGCAGGAGGCAAGTCAGGGTGCTTGGTCCAATGCAACTGCAGCCGTTGCAGCACGACCCCAGGGTGCTCCTGCTCCAGCTCTGCCAACACCTGCTGCCCTGCCTCAGCCCAGGTCGAGGCCTGTAACACCAAGCCAGGAGAAGCAGTGAAGGTGGAACCCACCAAGACCACCGAGCCTTCCCTTCAACCCACTCCCCATTCCCACAGGATAATGACTCAGGCCATATCCCCCCAGTGGTTGGATTTTGGGGTCAACCTGAAGACAAGGAGAGAGAACAGGCAGAATGTCCTGAAAGAGCCCAGGCTGTGCTGGGGTTAGACAGCCACCCCTCCATTCTCACTGACCACCTGCAGCCAAGGTCAGGACACCCCAGCTACCTGCTTGAAAAAATGGGAGAGCTTCTCAGCATCTGCCAGCCGCTGCCGCTGCCGGGCCAAAGCTCTGGAGAAGTCAGTCAGCTGGGCTTGCAGGGCGAGAAAGCGGGCCCCAACAGGGCCCAGCTCAGCAGCCTCCCAGCCAGCCAGTGGCTGTAGAAACTTCTCCCCTCGCCTGACCTGCTCCTGGAGACAGAGACTGGGCTCAGCGATCTGGGCCTGGTGGTCTAGCCCAAAGCAGTCCTTTCACAGACATCTGTATATATCATTGTCAAGTCTCTTCTATGACTGAAGACCTTCCCTTGCCCAACCCCCAACTCCCCTCTGTCTCTGTGCCCCTCTCCACAGCCAAACTTCCTAGAGAGGTTGTTATCCTTGGTACCATTGCTTCTTCACCCTGTCAACCTAATGCAACCTCAGTGCCACCTCCATCCCCAGCCCTTCTCAGGCCTCATCTGACCACCGCTCAGCAGCCTCTAGTCCTCTCTCTGCTAGCTCCCCAACAACTCTCCTCTCACCTGACTCTCCTCATCCTTCTCTGGTGGTTCCTCCTCTGCTCCCTATCCCTCACCTGGGCCGTTAAACACTGATGCTCCTGAACACAGTCCACTCTCTCTCGCCTCAGGCAATCTTGTGTGACCGACTTCAAATGTCATCCACACACCCACATCCACCAAGTGACCCTCTACACCCTGTTCTCTGAGTTCTAGGCCAATACCTATGGGCCTCATTCCCTCATGGCCATCTCCAAAGCACACCCAAGACTGCACTGATGAATCCCCTTCCCCCAGAATGTCCTTGTCTCCCGGCCCCTCTCTCAGGGAATGGCACTCATTCACCCCTGCAACCCCCCTCTCCTTCTATGTATCCACCATCAAATCCCAGCAATTTCCCAAATCAATCTCCTCTGCCACCATCTGGCCAGGGAAAGCATCATTCTCTGTGAGCCAATGCGACTACATCTGTGGACTCTACACAGACATCATTCACATCACTGTCTACCCAGAAACTAAGATGATAATCTGAGAACGTGGATCTCGTTATGTGATCTTCCCACTTAGATTTTACACTGTGACATAACCCAGAAACTTGGCCACTACTTTTCCAGCCTCATTTCACCTCATCTCACTCCATTCTCCCTCCCTTTTCTGCATTGCATTTCAACCTCACTGTCCTGCTTATGGCTTCTCAGGCAACCCATGCTCCCTCCTGCCACAGAATCTTTGCACATGCTGTTTGCTCCCTCAGCCTGGAATGTCTCTTAACCCCAACCCCTCTCCCTCCTGATTAACCCAGATCTATTTTTCAGCTTTCAGTTCAAAAGTCCTTATCTCAAGGGGCACCTGGGTGGCTCAGAGGGTTGAGCCTCTGCCTTTGGCTCGGGTCATGGTCTCGGGGTCCTGGGATCGAGCCCTGCGTCGGGCTGCTTGGTGGGGAGCCTGCTTCCCCCACTCTCTCTCTGCCTGCCTCTCTGCCTACTTGTGCTCTCTCTCTGTCAAATAAATAAATAAAATCTTAAAAAAAAAAAAGTCCTTATCTCAAGAAAGCTAGCCCAACGCCCCTTCTGGGTGAGGTCTTTATTAATATACTCAGGTAGAACCACCTGTGTTACTTCTCTGCAGAGCTTTTGCCTGTTTATAAACACATACATAACTTTGAACCTGTGATTACAACTCATATTCTCTACTTAACTATACATTCCAAGAGAGAAAAGAATAGATGTACTTTCACCCACCCGCACTCCCTGTCCCCAGCAAAGTGACCCAATACTTATGGAATAAACAGGTGACCAAACTCACCTGGGCAACCTGGTCCAAGTCCTGAAAAGGACCTTGGGCCTGGAGCAGCATGTCCAGGGAGGGCTCCCTTAGCTCCTCAAGTGCTGGCCAGCCCACCTGCTGCAGCCACACTTCAATCTGGAGGGGGACAAGTGGGGAAAGGAATGCTGCTGTGGGGTGGAGGTCATGCTTGAGATGAGAGGGCGGGCCCATCTGGGCAGAGTTCCCACCTGGTGCAGTCCACCCTGCTGAGCCTCCAGAGTCTGGACCAACTCTAGTGCCTGTACTCGCCGGTTACTCTGGAGGGTCAGTTGGTGCAGCAGTCCATCTACGCGGCCATAGAGTTCATCAACCTCATCCACTGCTGGCCTGGTACAGGGTACATGGTCTTAGGGCTCTTAGTTATCCTGTTCCACTCCACCCTGTCCTGGGACCACAATCCTGGCTGGTTCTGAGCCAGCATAGGATGTGGTGAGCTGGGGCAAGATCTGGGACCTGAGTTTGCATCTACCTGTAGTCTGGGCTCAGGGTCACCTCTGGGACTTCTTGCTTCAGCCATGCCAGCTCCAAACTCCCCTGGCCTTGTAGCCACGCTAGCCGTGGTGAGTCTAGCACGTGCTGCATCAGGACCCGTGCCTGCCGTAACAGCCGACCAACTTCCTGCGATTTAAGGCAACAGGTAGTGGAGATGGCCATGGGGGAAAACGAGGGAGTCAAGGAGCATTTGGAAAGGTGTCGAGGGAACACTCACCCCAGGCTCCATGGGCCGGGGCACAGCCTTCATGCTCTCGATGGCCCCCTGGAGCAGGGCACAAACCACCTGGCAGCTCCGCAGTAGGGCTTCCAGACGCTGTGAGCAGGGGCAGGCATAACCAGAGTAGTGCAGTGCTGGTCCCACGCATCCTGGACCCTGGGCCAGCTTTGCACTGCTGAAGCCAACCCCAAAGAGGCCCCTCTGCTGGCCAGGTTGCCTGCCACCCACCCTATGCCCCATGCACCGCACTGACCATCCGGAAGTCCAGCCAGGCCTGGTGGCAGTAAGGCAGGCCTCCTCCCATTGAAGCTGGCAACCCAGAGGTGGAGACGTGGTTCAGGAGGCTCTGATAAGAGGGCAGCTGCTGCAGCTGCCAGAAAAGAAAGTTGTGACAGAGGCCTAGTGGAGAAACAGCCCATCTCCACCCCTGGCCAAAATGGCTCAGTACCTGCAGCCTGGAAGGCACATCCTCTGGCATCTTTCCCAGTAGCAGCACCTGGTACACTGACCCTGGGGCTGCCTCCTGCAAGGCATTTGAGTTCAACCATGTTCCCAACCCTACACAAAAGGAATGACTGAAGGCAGCGGAAGCTACAATCCTGTACTCACCTGCAGCTGGCTGAGCCCCCAGAAGAGAGAAGAGCTTGGGGAACAAACTTGGGCGTCCACCAGCACGGTCAGACCCAGGGCCTGTACTTCGGGCCTAAAGGAGAGGCTTCAGTTCAGTATCGAATTCCCCAAACTTGCCATCTCCCAGCTCAGCTCCACCCCTCAAACTTCCTCCCCCAACCTGGGGATGCTGCGCAGGTAGAGCAGGAGACGGATGAGTTCATGGTTACTGCACTTGGGGTGAAGCCAGGCAGGGCTATGGGCACAGAGAAGCAGCACTGCCCGGCCTTCTACATCCCGAGTCCCTGTGGAGAGAAGGCGGTGAACACCTGCCCAGTCAAGTCACCACCCCCTGCCCCTGCCTCCAGTCGTTCCCAACTACCTGGCAGAGTAGCCATGCCACTGGCCAGCAGCTCCCAGGCCAGGTCTTGAGCCAGGAGATAATCAGCAGGCTTAGGGAGGCTAGATCCACTGAGGTCTTCGGAAGGAAAATGGCTTGGGTCTGCCTTGGGCTACCCACCCAGAGACCCCCTCCTCAGACCTGGGCTCCAGCTGGAGTAGGGTGAGAGCCCTCCACACCTTCAGGAACCCCCACTCCCTTCCAAGACCTCCTTGGCCCTGCCTCCCTTACCTGCCTCCAGTAGCTCTGATGACATCTGAGATAATGGGCCTCCAGGGTCCACAGGATCACTGTCTAAGCCCTCAGGACCCAGGCAGGCTGGCATTAATCTGCTTGGAACTTGGTCCCTTGCCAAGCCTCCCCCTTGGCTAGCACTCTCACCCTGTGCGAGGCTGAGGTGGGAGGACATTGGGCACAGGAGGCTCTCCACTCCAGAGGGCTTTGGTCCCTCTAACTGGAGTGAGGAACCCCCTAATGTGGAACCCTGGCCATCCCCCGACCCATCTACAGCCATCTGTCCTGGGGGTGACTGAGGCTCCCCAGGCAGGGGGCTGCCCTGTAGCCCTTCTCCCTCAGCTGTCCCTGCTGTTGGTCTCAGAGGATCGGGGTCCTTAACCTGCATGGGGGGAACAGGTTCCCCTTCATCCCAGACATCCCGCAAGCTGCACACTGCAAACCTCCAGTCAGTGGCGTGACCCTGGGAGTCCGGGGACTCATCCCCAACCTCCAGCGGCCCTTCCATCACCCCCTCCTTAAGAGTGGGCCTGCTCAGACCAAGTAAGAGGGGGTTGGGCCCTCAGTGTGAGGCTTCTGCTCCTCCAGGGAATGGGTTGGTGATGGTCGGGGTACAGCTCCGTGGGTGAGACAGGCAGAAGGCAATAGACCAGAGGAGGGGCTGGTCTTGGTGCCCCGAGGGAGCACAGACGCAGCGGCAGTTCAGACCTGAAGAGAGGGAAGAACAGCAGGGGTCAGTCCCCACGCGACCGCGCTCACGTGGGCCTTAGCCATGAGGGCCCCCACGCTTGGACGCACACTCCCCACCACGCTTTGCCCATCTACGGTCTACGCGGATGGGCCGCCGCCATTGCGTGGACGCCGTGCTGTCTAGTGCCGACACCCGCCCAACTGGGCCTTGTGTCGCCACGAGACTCCACGCCCCGCCCCTCGCCCGTCCGCCTCACTCACGTCCCCGGGACACGGAATCGCGTAGCCGAGCCCCCGAACCTGCCGAGCCCTCGAACCTACCGCACCGCCGTCGACGGCGGGTACAGCGCGCCGCCCGGCGTCCACGGGCGCCGCCTCCTGGCGGCGGGGAAGGAACGCAGGGCGGCAGAGGACGCGGCGCCGCGCCGCCCCCTGGGGGCCGGAGGACGGAGCTGCATCCCACCCCAGGCCCGACGGCAGCCGCCCGGACCCCCCGGAAAGCGCGGAGGGGCCGGCCCTCGCAGCGCCCCTTGCCAGCCGCCGTCCCACCCCAACCCTTGGGGCCAGGCGGCTCCGCTCCACTCCCACCCTCAGGGCCCCCTTACTTTGACTTGGCTTTTCTGTACCCCGGAAGGGGCAGAGACTACCAGCCGTTTTGCTGTGCCCACTCCCGGGGCCTGCCTGGGAGCGCCGGAAGCGGCCCCCTGCTGGGGAAGGCGGTGTTAAGTGCCCGAGGTGAGTGATCCGGTGGGCGGCGTGGGGGTCGAGGGAAGGGACTTGCGTGGGGGGGGGAGTGGGGCATTCGGGAGCGGAGACGGGGTTGGAGGTTTCTGCTCTTGAATGCATGCAGTATGGGTAGGGGGGGACTACCTCACCCTCTCTCCTCAAAACCGGGAGCATTCACTCCTCACGGGAGAAGAAAAGTGTGAGCCCACGGTCTCAGGAGGTCCCTAGAAAGAGAAACTCTTTAAGCCCAAACCAGCTGCTTGGGCTGCTGGAAACCAATAGAGGTATCTTCGTGGAGGGTAGGAGGAAGGCACCCCTCCCTTGCAGCGCTCAATCTTCCTTCCAGGCAGGGCCACTAAGAGGCAGATTGTTTAATTCCATGCCCGGCTGGGGACTGCTGTCTGGGCTGGAGGGAGGGAGGGAGCATGGAGGCCTCTGGGGTAGGAGCTGACTCAGGCCTACCAGAATCTACCAGGCCCAGACCCTCCACTCTGGTGCATTTTCACCTACCACCCCTCCCCACAAAGTCCCGCCAAGGAGGCTGGGACTGAGGTCAGGGTCCTGGAACCAGAGACACTAACCCAGGCCTGCTCCTTCACTTACCTGCTGGGTGAACTCCAGCAACTCAGTTCCCTTTAAGCCTCACCTTACTCACCTGTTAAAAAAAAGGGGCGGGGGAGAAAGAAAAGAAAAGAAAGTAAGTCATTCCTTTTATTTTTCTGGGGTTGTCCATAGGAGTAGGAAGACCCCATGTGTTAGATGTTCCATCGCTGCCAGCATTTGGGCTGTGTTCATGCCCTCCCCATCATTTCACCATCAGTCAGGGGATCCTGAACTGGTGAAAGTTACCTGGAAAGTTGACCTGTGAGATCCCTCCCAGCTCTGAGGTGTGAGGTGCCTTTAGGGCATGTGTGCCTGGCTTGACACTCCCCAAAATTTGTGGGAAGACTGTAAGAAGATAGGCTATGTAGCCAGAGGAAGGCGCGGTGCCCCACAACATGCTCAGGCCCTTGGTTCCTGGGAGGGGAGGGGGCAGTGGGTATTATGGCTTCCTTGGCTCTAAAGCAGGCACCTTCTCAGAAGCCTGGAGGTTCCCAGAGGAGCAGACCTGAGCCTCCGAAGCAGGCACAGTGGTAACAACAGCAACTGGCTCCCCCGACCCCAGCTGCCACATCAGCACCCCAAGTCCAGACTCTCAGGCCAGCTACCTAGGAGCCTTCTTCTCGAGCTGATCTGGCTGTCAGAGGAGCCTTGGAATTGTCCTGCTCCATCCCCAACCCCCAGCCAGGACCTGGTCCCACCCTCCTCTAGCTTTTGTGAGCATCAGGACCAACCTTGGATCCCTCCCCAGCTGTCCCAGGGCCGCCCCATTGAGTCATTGCCTCCTGCTCCCTCCCTCTCCTTCTGCTGCCCACTGTCTGCCCACCCCCAGCCACCAGCCAGGCCTCCTAGGAGTGCTAAGATCTGGTATTGGGGGGGGACCTATGGCAGGCATTCATACCCCCCCCAATACCAGAGGCAAGTAAGAGGCCTCAAGCCACAGGCCATAGCTGACCCCAGCACAGCCAGGCATGGGCGGGCAGACAGATTCAGGGTCAGGGTCAGGGTCAGGCCTTGGTTTATCACTCCACATAGAATGTGCATTGTAGCTTCATGGAAACAGAAGGTACTGTCCACTTCTGTACTTCCAGCACTTAACATAGGGCCTGGCATAGAATAAATGCCTAGGGGTCCCTGAGAGTGGTCACATTACACCTGCCCTCCTGAGGCTCCGCATCCTTAAGCCAGCTGTGAACTAGAGTCACAGTCACAGAGGGAAAACAGAAAAGGCAGAGAATTGCCGGATGCACAGCCCTAGGATGGCAAAGATACAGATAGAAATGGGGACACACAGAGACCTGGTGGGGGAATACTGGGAACTGGGCCTGGAACCAACCCAGGCCGCTGACCACAGCAGGCTCTGCAGGGCTGAGCTTGCAGGACTGATCAGTGACTCATGGGGCCCTTCTCTGTGGCTCTGCTGGCAGCAAAATCCGCTCATAGCAGCCTTTTCCACTGAGATCATAAAATGGGGTTGGGCCTCCCTCCCCTGCCCCGTCCCCAGCCTTCCCTCGGCCTCCCATTCCTTGCCAACATGAATCAATCAAAAATACGATGGGGGCTGTGGGCCTAGTGATAAGAGACCCAAAGTCATTGCTCTTACTCTACCCCAAACCTTGCACACTCTCTTCAGTACTGCCCCAGACAGCAAGTGTGATAATACCCCAGACCTTCCAGATTGCTCTCGCTTTTGGCCTAAATAAACTCCAAACTCCATACTGGCCTGGAAAACTCATCTGATCGCAAATTTTGTTGCAAACTGTCCTCTACCTGGAAAGCTCATCTCCCCTAGTCAAACTCCTTCCTCCTTCAAAGCCTGGATGCAACTTAGGTCACCCCAAAGGCCCTGTCCACCATCTTGCCCAACCCATGACTTGCTCACTCTCCTATAGCCCACATGCCTGCCTCTCCCCCAGCTGTACTCACCTGCTTTCTCCCCCTCCGTCTCTGGCTAACCCTGTCTTCCCATCTGTTCTACCATCCTTAGTTACCCAGCACCAAGCCCAGGAGTCCCTCTGTACCCCCTCCTCCTACACGTTTAGTTGCCTGATTATGTGGTTTTGATTTCTACCACCTTTCTAATCTACACATTCTCGAGGGATGTCGTCTCTGTGATCTCCCTTATGAGGAGCTGCTTAAGATTATAGATCTCTGCATCCCCATTGCTTTGCTGAGTCAGAACCTTGGGGCAGGCCCAGGAATCTACATGGCTTTTTTTAAAAGTTTTATTTTTATTTTATTTTATTTTTTTTAAAGATTTTATTTATTTATTTGACAGGCAGAGATTACAAGTAGGCAGAGAGGCAGGCAGAGAGAGAGAGAGAGGAGGAAGCAGGCTCCCTGCCAAGCAGAGAGCCCGATGCGGGGCTCCATCCCAGGACCCTGGGATCATGACCCAAGCGGAAGGCGGAGGCTTTAACCCACTGAGCCACCCAGGCGCCCCTAAAGGTTTATTTTTAGAGAGAAAAGGAGCAAGGAGAGGGAGGGGCAGAGGCCGAGAGAGAATCTCAGGCAGGCGTCCCACTGACTGCAGAGCCCTGATATGGGGCTCGATCTTAGAACCCCAAGATCACGACCTGAGCTGAAGCCAAGAGTCAGATGCTTAACGCACCGAGCCACCCACCCAGGCGCCCCAGGAACCTGCATGTTTGACACCTCTTGGTGATTGCGACCCTAAGTCTGAGAATGGTTGCCTGCCCTCTCTAGCCTCTTCATGTCCTTAGACTGCTTGAGCAGAACAAGCTTCCCGTCTCCAGCCTTCCTTTCTACCAGTCCATCCTCCACCGGGGGTTTCTTTCGTTCCATCTGGCACTAACTGCATTTGAGCTCCCTGAAGCATATCACTGCCCACACCACTCCCCAGATCACAGTTCTCCCAGGCCAGCTCTCTGCCCCCTCCACAACTCAGCAGTGTTTCCCACACCAACCCCCACAACCCCAGCCTTTGTCTCCCTGGCTGGTCTCTTCACAGCACATCAGCCACTGCTCCTCGCATCTTGCCACATGTGCTCTGGGCATCCTTTGTTTATGCGGTTCTTTCTACCTGGAAGGCACCCACCCACCAACTTTGCCTGTATTGTCTGAACCCTTATATACACACACTTTCACATCCACTACCTCCTCACAGAGCCTTCCCAGATCTCCTCAGAGCCCCACAGCACTTTCCTCGATCCTCGCCTTGTGTCTAAAACCTGTAATGGTGAACATTAGTGATCCCTTACTGTAGGCCATGCTGTTTACTAGATTCTTCCCATTTTTTCACTTCATCCTGACAGCAAACTTATAAAATAAGTATACCTGCTTTTCCGTCTTGGAGATGAAGACATTGAGGCTCACAGAGAGTATGTAACATGCCTGAGCTGCCGTAGCTGGTTAGTGACAGCTGGACTGTTAACTCTAAGGCCCTATCACTTCCAACTCTAAACAATGTGAGGACAAAGCCCAGTTCTTCCCATTTTCCCATTTGTAGCCCAGAGAAGGGAAGTACTTGTT